CACATTTAATTATGCCCATTAAAATTTATTTTACAAGTTTTTGTTACTTTCACTGTTCATTTTTTTGCTCTTTGTTACATCATCTTTAATTTAATAGCATTAGAGCTGCTCCATTGAAGCGGCTTAGTACTGTAATCACGTGCTTTGCTGTAATAATGCAGCAAATAATGGAACCACTCGTTATAAATCTCCTTACTGTGATATTTTCAGAAATAGAAGTCGCATTTTTTCATCTGAAACGTGCTGCGATTTATATTCCAGAGTCACTCATATAATGCAGAAACACTCAAGCAAGCAAAACACAGGCAACGCGAGCACGTATTTGTACTGATGCAGAATAGTACAGCCAAGCATGAGCTCAAAGAGAAAGCTCAACAGGCTTTCTATGCCATAAAAATATCAATTAAAATTGACATCCCAATCCAAATCTGGCTCAAACTTTTCAAATCAGTAATTGAACCAATTGTATTATATGGCAGTGAAGTCTTGGGTTCACCTATAAAATTTTATTTTTTAAACTGGGAAAAACATCCAATTGAAAATATGCATTTAGATTTCTGTAAAAGAATACTCAAAGTCCAAAGAAAAACACCAAATAACGGATGCAGGGCAGAATTAGGCCAATACCCTCTCCTTCTAAACATCCAAAAAAGAGCCATCAAATTCTGGAAACACCTAAAGACAAGTGACCCCAGCACATACCATTATAAAGCCCTGAAACACCTAGACTCAGCGAGCACAGTCTGTCTGTAGAGACGGGCCGGCGCAGACAAACCTGGCTCTCCCGTGAGGAGAGACTCTGCTCCCACTGCAGTCTGGGAGAGACCGAAACAGAGCTGCACTTCCTCACAGAATGCCCCAAATACCAAACCATCAGAGACCACTATTACCCCAAAATAATATTTTTATTATAATATAAATAATATAAAATATTTCCCCAATTTATCATTTGTAGCCCAACTGAAAAACTTTGTTTAATTCTCGGCGAAAAAGCCAAATGTGCAAATATTGCTGCAAAATTAGTAGCATTGTGCCATGACCTGAGGGACAAACACAATCCAGAAACACACAGCCAGTAGACACACTCTCACAGGCCAAAACTGTAATACTGTTACTCATGTACATAATGTTACATTTCTCTGTCCAGCAGTTGCTACAGGAAAATCGTTATTATTATAATTTATTTTTATTTGATTTATTGATTTATTTATTTTTCCCTATATGTATCTTTGGGCATACATGACATTTCCATATTAATTATATATTACATATTATTTATAATATATAAATAAATGTTAAGATGTTCTAATGTAAAAATACACAAAATAATGATCTTTAAAAAAGCATCATATGACCCCTTTAATCCAAATGATGCGTGTTCTAAGTGAGTAAACATCAAAGATCACACAACAGAATTGTGCTCTCTCGGAACTGTCTTTAACTGAAAAATTTGTGTTTACTATTGTCATTTTGCATTATTGAGTATCGGTAGCGTACCAGTATCGGTATCGGTGCATCCCTAATTGCTACAAATATACCCCAGTGACTTAAGACTGGTTTTGTGCTCCAGGGTCACATATTGATAATTTAACATGTACTTCATGTGAATGTGGTTACTTGATTGATTTAGTGTGAAGAAAAGTGGCCATTTAATGTCAGTGCACCGCTCTATACCTTGGGCTGCTTGGGTTCCTCTGGAATTGGCTGTACTGCAGGTCTCGGCCTTAACATCCTCCCCTCACTGGGGGCCTAGACCAATAAAAAAAATAAAATAAAAAAAATTACTTTTAACAGACCTTTGCCTGAATGCCAAATATATTAACATTAAATCACACAAACTGTTTTGGCACCTGATGCCTTTCCACCCTCTCTTCAGACTCCACTTCCATCCCATGATCTTCAAGTGGAGGAAGAACCTCTGCGCCAACATCTTCTTCATCATAACCACCAATAACCTGAGCTACACCTTCTGGACACCAGATGACAACGATCAGACAAAAACAAAAGAGACCAGTGTGGTAATCTATTAGTCTTGAAATAGGAGTAAGATTCAGGTTTAATTTGGGGTAAGATTTTTTAAAATGTGTTTGAAGGCAGCATTTATTTGATTAAAAATACCGGGAAAAAAACTAATATTATTAAATATTATTACCACTTAAAATAAGTGTTTTCTATTTTAAGATCGTTTAAAATGTAATTTATTTCTGTAATAGCAAAGCTGAATTTTCAGCAGCCATTACTCCAGTCTTCAGTGTCACATGATCCTTCAGAAATCATTCTAATATGCTGATTTGGTGCGAAATATTCATTTCTTATGTTGAAAACAGCTGTGCTGCTTCATATTTTTTAAAGAGAAACTGTAATAAATTTTTTCAGGATTCTTTGATGACAATAAAGTGACTTTTTAATCAGTTTTGATTATCTGATGTCAAACTTTTAAGTCATGAAACATAAAAAAAAAAAAAAGGCAAACCATCTGTATAGACTGTCACGCGATAAGTCTGTGTCCTCACCATTGTCTAAGGGCACAGGTGCATGTACAAAGAAGTTGTGCTGGATTTCTGCGACCTCCTTTAGGAAGTGAGTGTGGGAAGAGCCCAGACGCATCAATCCTGATTCGCCCATGGTGAAATGATTAATTCGAAAATCCTTACAGCTGCCAAGAAGCTCCCCTTTAAGACTAGAGGATAACAATTAACAATCATTTTGGTAAAGCATTTTTAGTTCTTTATAAGTAGGAGCTTAATTTCCAACAACTGATTCACTTGTTCAGACAATATTGTCCTGAAGAGCAAGAGGACTTGATTGATGTCGCTGGACTGTAGTACCAATAAGAAGGAACAGTGTGCAACCATTTCCTTTGTTTGTGTGGGTCAGAGTGTCTTTACCTGAGAAGGGGGTATTTCTGTTTCTCAAGTGATTCTACAGGAATGAGAGATTCAGGAGGGAGACGGATAATCTTCACTGGCTAAAAAAAGAATACGAAAGAATTTGTACAGACAACTGCTATACAAGTTTATTAATTACTAAACAGTAATATTAGTAAATATCAAAAGCATATGAACTTTACTCATAATTTTTTCCCCCAGTTTACCCAAAGACACAAACGCAGAATAGCATGGATGTCCAGTATACACATTAAGTTTAAGTCAAAATCTTTGATGAGGTGAAACCCAACTCACCTCTGTTGGATCTTTCATCGTTATATTCTGAGAGTTGACATTCTCATCCTGCTCAATCTCATCAAACTGCATCAAAAATACCCAATTATTCACAGATATATAAAACATTTAATTTTTGTTTAAATTAACAAGCCTTATTGCTCATTTACACACCTCACAATCATCGTCTTCATTGCCTGAAGTGGCATCTTCATGGTTACCGTCTGATGAAGAACCTTGTTTGTTACGCCTGTTGAAATAAAGACAAATAGCATGACAACATGAACATACCAACTGCACATTCAACAGATTAAACAGAAAACGGAGGTCCAGGACACGTACTTCTTGTTTTTGTTAGAGATGTAGTCCAATGTTTGAAACACCAAAGTGTGAAGGAGCTCCACCTAAATATTCCGAACAGATCAATTTGTAAAGAAAACATCTTCAATTTAAGTTTGCGTCTTTGTGACATATTGAAGGATTAGTTCACCCAAAAATGAAAAATTACTGAAATTGTACTCAGGCCATTCAAGATGTAGGTGAGTTTGTTTCTACATCTAACAGATAGTATTTTGTATTACTAGTATTTTGGTCAGAAACTAAGGTTTAACGTCAAAACGCCTTAATGGTAGATTTGTTTCTAACAAACACGCAGCTTTTCACTTCAAAAGGCATTTATTGATTGACTAAAGTCATGTGGATTACTTTTGGATTATTGTAATGTTTTTATGAGTTGTTTGGACTCTCATTCTGACGGCTCCCATTCACTGCAGAGGATCCATTTGGTGAGCAAGTGACATAATGCTACATTTCTCCTAATCTGTTCCGATTAAGAAATAAATTCATAGAATAGACAGCCCGAGGGTGTGTAAATGTTCAGAAAATGTTAGTTTTTTGGGTGAACTATTCCTTTAGTTTATTTAAAAAAAATAAATAAAAAAAAACACTAATATAAAATATCATCTTATTTCTTTCTGACACACATAAAACTTTTTGTTAAATGAACTAAATAGAGTAAATAAAGTAATTAAATAAATGAGATAATTTGTACTTATTTTTTGTGAAATTAATCACTGTAACACACACAAAACATCACATATTTAACCTTTCTGCCATAGATGCAAGTTGATCCTTGGATTAAAAGTGCAGCCTCTGCAAAGTTCATCATGGTTTTCCCCCCATCAAATGAAATGGTCATCTGGTCGAGCTGTCAACACATACAACAGCAACAATACAATACTAAGGCTAGAATATTAACCTTTAAATGAATTAAGGTGGTTCTAGATCAGTCTGTTAGTGTTTTTTCACCTCCTCAAGATACTCTCCAAGCTGGCTGGCCAGGTCAATGTCCCAGTTCTTGGTGAGGTCCCGCAGCGGCTGCAGCAGATGGGCATATCTCGTCTCTGCAGAATCCATGGCCATGTATTTCCAAAAAACCCTGCAAATCATAATTTTTACAGGCATTATAATTCATACTTAAAATTAATTACCATCCTCCAAAATATTAAGAATGTTTTAAGGCTCACTTAAATTTTGAAAAGTAAAAAAAAACATGACATGTTGTCTTTGATTTGCAAGGATATGTTTTACTTTGGTCCTGTACTGTACTGTGCAGTCTCTGACAAAAAATAAAAACAAAAATCGTTACTGAATCACATTAAGTGTATACAGGAGATTTGCTAGCTGTCTAATAACTACACGCACAATAAATATAGCTGTATTATTTGAACACTATCATTAAATTTAAGGTTAAAGTTTTATAACCACTCGGAATCACCGTTAAACTGTAAGTTACACTTAATTTAAACCGTTTAAAGCAGTAGTAAGAGCTTTTACAGCACTGAAGCTCCAACAACACGATCATACATCAATATCAATATGCTCACCTTTAGTATGCGAATAAGCAACGGTTGCTGGATAAAAGAATAACTTATTGCTCGTGTATTTCTTGAAATATAACAAAATAATAATAAAATCTACACTTTAGGGAAATACCGCGCATACGTCATTTTTGTTTTTGCCGCGCGCGTGGCGTCAGACCGAAGTCACCGGACGTCCGCTGAAGCGCTGCCCTCTGCCGGCCTGGAGGCGTATCGTGATTTATTTCTATATACATATATATATATATATATATATACATACTTACAAACAAACAAACAAACAAACAATTTTTACATCTATTTAGTGCTTAACAGGGAGATATTCAGTATTGTTTTTCAGATCCTCTTAATGACTATCTGATCTTTTCAAGGTGGAGCCAAGACATTATCTCTGATCCACCAGATGGGTGGAACTGCTTCCTTCCAATTTAGTATTGCTTTGCATTCTAATAAGGCAGAAAAATCAAGGTCTTTACCAATTGTTGCTGATAACCATGAGTCTTCTGGGGAAACATAAATAATGCTACAAGAGGAACCTGTGCTGGAGAACTGCTGAAAGAGGCTTAAATACAATATTGAGCAATAGTTTGTTGAACTTGTGAACCCTTAGCACATTGACAGCTATTACACATAAATTTGGGTTCATTTGACTTTTGACTTATAAGTGTTATGTATTTTAAGGGGAGACACTGCAGGCAGAAACACTGTTTTTTCATGCACCTGTCAAGTTTGTGATTTGGGGCTTTTTGGTTTTTCATAAAGTGTTTTTTCAGACTAGTGGCTGAACTCTTCAGGACTGCGGCTCTCTAGGACCGAACTTGCCTACCCCTGGTATATACTTAATTTTTTTATATTTTACATAGTAAAAAAATATACATATACATAAGTTGGTCAGACAATTTAAAGAAAGCATAGGTCAAATGGGTTATTAAAAAAAGTAAAAAATAACAGCAACAATTCTTTGCACTACACAATATTAATATTATTTTATTTATTTTATTTTAATCTAGGGGGGAAATAAACATCCCCACTGCTCCATAGTGTGAATGTCTTCGATGGCCAGAAGAGGTCGCTATAAGGCAGCCAGACAAATAATTAAAAAAACTTATTTAACCCCAGAGATGTATAACTAAGATAAAAGTGGACAATTACTGTACAAAATGTTAGGATTATTGAATTGTTATATTTCATTAATTTTGTTCTCAAATATTTTTTTTTCAATACAAATCAGTTCAACACAATCCCTCAACCCTGAGGAAATATTCCCCGTGATTACTTCAATTCTGACCAATAATTTTCATAAGATAATTGAAAAAAATGAATGTATATACACACACACACACTTTTCATGCACCTGTCAAGTTTGAGATTTTGGGCTTTTTGGTTTTTCATAAAGTGTTTTTTCAGACTAGTGGAAAGAAAACATCCAAAAGATACTGTTAAGTGTTTCGTTAATAGCACTTTATCTATTTGTGTCAATAGATTTCAATTACAATACATATTTTTGAAGGCCGTTTTCTCAAAATGAGTTTTTTCTCCTACACTGAGCCACAAATCTCCACTTCAGTAGCACTTACACACACCAAACTTTACATTTTTATTCCTGAATATCCTGAAGGTTTTTACAGAGGGCTTTGTTCATATATAATTAGCTTGATTATATGCAACATTTTAATCCCCCCAAAATTGTGAAAATATAATGTTTTCTGTCCATTCTAAGCATTTTCTGAATTATAGAGTGACAAAAATGAGATACCCAAAATTCCCTCTGTAAAAACGTTTGACTCTCATATGTCAAAAAAATTAAACAAGAATTTTGAAACTGACATCATCCAGTATTTAGATTTTTGTACAAGAAATGTATGCAAATTAGTGCATATTTCATTAAATAATGACTCATTGGCATATCTAAACCTAACATTTTAGAAAACTTGTAATACAAAAAATGTTTGCAATTATCAATATAATCAATCAGCTGGGTAAGGCGATAACTATTAGTTTTTTTTTTTTTACCCTATTCACCTGCAGTGTCTCACCTTAAATTGAAATGAGTGCCAAGCACACACTGATGATGATTGAACCTGCTTCAGGACACAGTCCCATGTGTCATCTGAGGCTGGTCTGCCAAGATCTTCCTCACAGGTCCTCCTAATTTTTTCTAAAGAAGAGGATGCTTGACCACAACTTTATTCGCTTTAAAGGAGCAACTAATTGGTTTATAAACACAAATAACATGACCCCATCCATAAAAATAACAAGCAAACCAATTGTCTGGTGTGAGGTCATCTGATGCATCAGACTTACAGTCAGCTCTGCACTCTAAAAAATGCTGGGCTGTTTCAACCCAACTTTAGATCAAATATGGACTAACCCAGCTGTTAGGTTACATTTTTAAACCAAAAGTTGGGTTAGTCCATATTTGACCCAAAGTTGGGTTGAAACAACCCAGCATTTTAAGAGTGTGAGCACTGTGTTAAAGGGATTGTGGGTAACCAAGCAGTTGACAGTAGCCATTGACTTCGTATAGAAATAAATATTATGGAAGTCAATGGCTACCGCCAACTGTTTGGTTACCAACATTCTTTAAACTATCTTCTTTTGTGTTAAACAGAAGAAAGAAACTCACACAGGTTTGGAACAACATGATGGTGAGTAAATGATGACAGAATTTTCATTTTTTGGTGAACAATCCCTTTAATCCACTGTTGCCTTTATACAAGGACTTTACAGACATTAAATCTGGGAAGTGTCTGCCAATATTAATTATAGACTTTCTTAATGTAATGAATTTTAAGCTATCTATCTATCTATCTATCTATCTATCTATCTATCTATCTATCTATCTATCTATCTATCTATCTATCTATCTATCTATCTATCTACCTATCTGTCTATCTGTCTGTCTGTGTTGTAGATATTCAGGTAGTTTATTGTGGTTTGGGCGTTTTTACACACAGACAAAACCTAAAATTATACAGCTTATTTTTTTTTTTCATATGTAGGGCAATAAATCCCTGGCTTAAGGTGGCACTTGTCATGCTTTGACTGTATCTCAGATGAATATAGAGACACAGAACTGTAAGACACAAACCTCAGCAACCACTGTACATTTCTTTAAAAACTGTACGGATTCAGATTATATAAAACATGCCCATCACAGATGTTTGATAAAGAAATAAACATTTTACTGCAGTAATGTATAAACAATTAATAATAAACAAAATAGACTTGGGATGTGCTATACTGAACGTATGGCAGTATATATAGCCTGTCCTTTGCATTTAATTGCTAGTTATGATATTAGGCCTTTATGTAAAGAAATTACAAATAATTAGGCCTCTAATGAAAAACATCCTCACAATCAAATAAAATGAAATTATAATTACATGCAGCGTGGATTGTGATAAAAATATGTGGCTGGCGGATCTTAACAAAACAAATAAACAACCAACAACAAAATAGCCAGTTGGCACGACCTTAAGAGAGCGTCCGCACATCTGACCACGTGATACGATTCCTGGAAAGTATCTTTCTGGCGGGAGCGTATTTGTGTGCCATTCCGAGCATATCGCAGAGATAGGAATCTTGAAGATGGAATTAATTTTGAGGGGGTGGGGGGGACTTCATAGCCAGTGCATGAGTGCTTCCTTTATCACCTGTTTCCGACCGGCATTCTGAAGGGCTAAATTGCACTCTGTGATTCGTTATGTGGCTCCACTTGAGAGTTGAACCGAATAACACCGGGGCTGAAATTCTCAAGGAAGGTTTGGGAGTTTATTTTTTAATGCAGTGCTGGTTACTAGCGCTGTAGCGAGTGTTGGGAAGGGAGGGATTGTGGTCTTGGGCGAAGCAACTCTGAAGGAGTTGGACGCGAATTCACACAGAGAGAGAGAGAGAGAGAGAGAGAGAGAGAGAGAGAGAGAGATTGGTTGGAATGTCACTAAACTGCTGGAGAGAGTTATTATATGTGTCCTTCTCGCTTGGCGCGCGTTGTAACGCGTTTGGACGCACGACGCGTGCGGCGCGCTTCCAGACAGCGCGAGAAAGGCAGTGTCGCTCCCGAAAGAATCAATGCGAATACGAGGAAAAACGCGTCCCGATCTGCTGAGCATCAGGGCGTGCTAGTCTTTTGACAGCTAACCGATCAGTGTTTCCCATTAATAATAAATGACGGGTCTAAATCATGGTGCCACTGAACGTCTGTAACGCGAAACGCGCTGGACTTGATTGCTTATTGCTTTCACTTAGAGAAAAGGTAAGTGATGTGCGCTTTCTCCGACTGTCGCCTTTCAGGCTCAAGTTTATGTTCAAAATGTGCTCTGCTTTATTTCCTCTGGTTCATAATGTCTCAGATAGCAGCGACATCAAATGATCCGTGCATTTAGAAGTATCTTCATTTACACGTTTAGGAGAAAATCCATTCGTTTGTCTTATTTGCTACTCTATCATTTACCAGGAGCTCAGCTGTCAATGCAGTTTCCTAGTAAAGGCAGTTCTGCGTATTTCGCCGTCTCTTAAAGGCAGCCTTTGCTTTTATTCCTCATGCACGTGTGCAAAGAACCATTCACAGAAGACGGACGTTTGTAATGCTAGTGGAGCTTATGAAGATTGTCATTTCGTTCTTTTATCCAATTAAAAACAAGAACAGAAAAACTAACAGTAGCTGACCTGTGGATTATTCAATGGAGATTAACACGAAATGGCCACTTTCATTTGACCACTTTATGAGAGTATTTCAAATAACCAATGAGAAATGAGTTACAGGGGTGAAATGACTATCATATGTGAGCACCACCCTCCTGAGGTGACAGTAGAGGTTGTCAGAATATTAAGGATTTACAGGACAAAAACAATTTTAAGGTAAGACGAAAGAATGGCTAGTTTAACTTAATTTCCGATCATGATAATGAATGTTAAATGACAGAACTGGTATCATTATTGTTTAGTGTGGTATAACGTTCACACAAGCTTTTCATTTAACGTGTTAAAAAAACTATAAATACCATGTCTGAGTAGATGGGAAGGGTTGTAACATTTTCCATTCTGCTGGAGACACAACTATTGAACAAAACAGGACAGTGTTGCTACGCTCACCACAATTGTGTGAGTGCAGCACACACTCTTTCGTTTAGCTGTGTTTCATGCATTTTGCATATTTGTTTCCTGCTTTTAAACGTTTTTTAACGTTTCCCTATTGAATTAAATGTTTAAAATTAAATGAGGGTAATTGTTTTGAAGAATGAAATACCATAAATGAATAAATACACTCTTAAAAATAAAGGTGCTTCACGATGCCATAGAAGAACCTTTTTGTCTAAATGGTTCCATAAAGAACCTTTAACATCTGAAGAACCTTTCTGTTTCACAAAAGGTTCTTTGTGGTGAAAGAAGGTTCTTCAGATTATAAAAAGGTAAGAAAGAGATGGTTCTTTAAAGAACCCTTTTTGACTGAATGGTTCTTTGTGGAACCAAAAATGGTTCTTCTATGGCATCGCTTGAAGAACCGTTTGAAGCACCTTTATTTTTAAGAGTGTACATGCATGTGCTCGTTTTCTTTTAGTGTTACACTCAGGGAATGTGGAAGATTGTAGCACCAACACTCCTTGTACTTCACATTAATTTACACAGTTTTAGGGATACATTGTAGTTTTCAAACATCTTTAATTTGCAGCAGACAAAAATGGAAATATTATATCAACATTTAAAAAAAAAATAGCACAAAAAGCGTTTACAGACGTTGAAACAAAATATGTTAAAACCCAATTTCGTATGTGTTGAAAGGCGTCTAAAACCTGCTTGTATTTTCAGATCGGCGCCGCCTAACAAAATCCGCGGACTCTGTGGAAGACTTCTCACATGTTTTGGTTGATTGTAAGAGTCAGTCGTCTTTGAAGGATAATTATAGACATTGACTGGATGCAGAACGCCGTTCTCCAATGACCTGTCACTCATCCGACTCCACGGAAAGCATCGAGAATGAAAGGCGATCGCAAGCCGAAACCCAAGTCGCGGAGTCCGACCAGAGTCGCATTGCCACTGCCATGAGAGACCTTAAAAACACTGGTAAACGTTTACTGCTCGTTTTACTTACATATTCTTTCCGTTTGTTCCTGTGACACTCGCTGAATTAATGTTGTAGCCTATGCAGCACAGCCACAGGCAGTGATTCATCTGCTTAAAAAAAGAATGATCATATTCATAATCATAATGCGTTAAATTTGATGTTAAAAGTGTTAACAGCCGATTTTAAAAAGATTAACCTTCTATATAAAATGTAAATAAAATGTTTAAAGGTCGTTTTAAGTGTACTTTAATCTCATAAATCAAACTTGCAGCAGGTCCACACTATATCATGCTTTTGGCATGGGTTTGTTGAAATATTCAAAGGAGCTGTGATTTCATTATATGAATATCAAATGGTTGAAAATGTTGATTCAGGACTGCTGTTTATATTGTTATTCATTTGTGTGATTTCATTTGCATCTGGTGTGTTGTTTGTACAGAAGATAATCATGAAAATATCGGAGAAGTGAATGTCAACAAAAAAGTATGTAAATCCAGTAATTAATTTTTACATTAAGGGGCAAAAAAAAATAAAAAATAGTTTTAAGTCAATATTTGAATTTAATACATTAATTAATTCAAATAATTACATATTATGTTTGAAGTGCCTAATTAAAATTAATTCAACATCAACTAGAAAAGATTGAATTGTAATTAAAATTAATTCAACATCAGAAAAGAATATTAAGAACTATATCAGATGTTACAAATACAAAAGTTTTTTGCAATTGCATTTTGTTCACCCCCACATATTGACTTCCAGGGGCATTTTTGTCACTTTCTGTGGCATTTGTCCCACAAGCCCCCATTTCTGACCCTGATATGAAGTATGTAAATGAATAAGTAGGAACTATGCACATTTCCTGACAAAGCCTTTGTTTACATTTTCTGTTTGCTTTTTGTGCAACAAAAGAATGACATTATCATGCCTATGAAGCTTTTGTTATATTTCCTGGTCTGGCTGGAACATTTGTCCTCAGTGGTTTGCATCTCTGTCACATCCCTTTCTGGTTTCAAGTGCATGAGCAAATTTAGTCCAGCACTGCACTGTATGAAAGAGAAACGCAACATACCGTCATTATGATGCTGCAGCGAGATCCATTTTTAGGTTTGTTTGTTGCTGAGAAAAACAATGTGAGTAGCTTTTGGGAACATCTGTCAAGCATCTGCCATCAAAAAAATGTCAGATACTCCCAAGACGAATAGTCATGGTCTAGTTCAGTATTTCAGGAAAAATATGTCATTTATGATACAGTGATACAGTGCAGACTTGTTTAGTCTTGCTACGCCACAGTTGCCATAATGTTTTCAATTAATGTTCATTTAACAGGACATTTCAGAAATGCTTGGTTTTTGCTGCATTATCAGATGTGAATTAGCTCTTTAAATCAGTTGAGATGTTGAAAGACGCATTGCATCCTTTCTAAAAGCCAAAATCTCTGCAGTGACTCAGAAAATGCCTTATAAAACAACAGCCGTTCAAGTATAATAGTCAGGATATGACTGTAGCAGTGACGGTTTTTGTGAGCGTGTCCTTAGAGGGACACGTTATGGGTCTCATGTTACACAAGCAAACAACTGAAACGGATACTGTGGAAGAGGATACGTATGACCATCTCTGTGTCTTCTTTTCTTGGAAGCAGGCTGGTATTGGGGCAGCCTTACAGCCAATGAAGCCAAGGAGATCTTGCAGGACACGTCGGAGGGCACGTTTTTGGTTCGAGACAGCTCTCAGAGGGACTACCTCTTCACCATCTCTGCCATGACATCTGCGGGACCCACCAACCTGCGTATCGAATACAAGGACGGCAAGTTCAAGCTAGACTCCGTGGTGCTGGTCAAACCCAAACTCAAGCAGTTCGACAGCGTCGTCCATCTCGTGGAGCATTATGTGCAGCTGTCACGGACATCTTGTAAGGGCAGCACTACCCCTCTCGCCCCATCCAAAGGCACCGTGCAGCTGCTGCTCATGACTCCGGTGTACACGGCCACACCATCTCTGCAGCATCTGTGTCGTATTGCCATCAATAAAACCACACGGCGGGTACAAGAACTCCCTTTGCCAAACCGGCTGAAGGATTACCTGACAGACTACACTTATAATGTATAGAACCAGATGGACAATGATTACCATAAGTGCTGGGGTTCTATGGAACATAGACCCAGTGATAATGAGGTGCTGATGTCCTGTTTAGGATCTTTTGCCTGGGATTCCTCATCTTGTGCCCAAGGACTACTTTAAAAGGATAGTTCACTGAAAAAATTAAAATCTGTCATTAATTACTCACCCTCATGACGTTCCAAACATTTTTGGCTTTCTTTCTTCTGTGGAACACAAGAAAATATATTCTGTTTTTGTCCATATAATGAAAGCCAATGGGTACAAAAGAACACTGTACTCCATTGGCTTTCATTGTATCAACATTTTTCAAAACATATTCCATTTTCTATGTTAAGATTTGACATAAGGGTGAGTAAAAATGACAGAATTTTAATCTCTGGCTGAACTATCCCATTAATACGGAGAATATCATAACAATGTTAAGTGTCCTTCATTGCGCACTTAACAAGTTTACAGCCTGTAGATATTTTACAGTCAATTTTTTAATGAGCGAGTGAGCAGTATCTGTAAGGAGCATTGGCCTACACGAACATCTGTGAGTTTCTACCTGTAATACGCACATCAGATATACAGGTGGAAGAGTTCAGCCAAAAATGAATAGTTCAACCATATATCATTCCAAACTCTTGGATTTTCTTTATTCTGTAGAACATAAAAGAAGATATTTTGAAGATTGATGCAGCTGTTTTTGTCTATATATTGAAGTCAATGGGGTCCAAAACTATCAAGCTCCAAAAAGGACATAAAAGTATACTCTTAAAAATAAAGGTTCCAAAAGGAGTTTTTTTTTTTTGCAGTGATGCCATAAAGGAACTATTTTAGGTTCCCCAAAGAACCTTTCAGTGAACAGTTCTTTAAAAAAACAACATTTTCCTATAGTTTGAAGAACATTTTAATAATCTAAAGATCCTTTTTCCACTATAAAGAACTTTTGTGCAATTGAAACCATGGATGGTTCCATGGATGTTAAAGGTTCTTTGTGAAACCATCTAAAGAACCTTTATTTTTAGCATGAAATAAATTCATTCGATTCATCTGGCATATTCCAAATCTTCTGAAATTTAAGGGTTATTTACTCTCCAATCGTTGATCAAAGCACACAAATGCAGACCACATTAACTATGCTGGCACAAACGGCCACTGGCGTCAAACCTCATTGGGATGTTAATTAATGTTTGAGGTATTTTCTTTTATGTTCCACAGAAGAAACCAAGTTATATGAGTTTGGAACAACATGAGGGTAACATGAGTAAATGATGTCAGAATTTTCATTTTTGGGTGAACTATCCTTTTATTGCAGCAGATGTCTGGGATGTTCTGCATCCTGTGTTTGAGACATTGGAGTTTGAAACTGTATGCTTTTTGACTATGTTTTATTTGCTCATTATCCATGTTATATGTTTGTACTGTAGTCATAGATGATCATTTGATGTCATGGTTGCCCAAGGAACTGCTGGGAACAGGGAAGTACCTTGCGATATGATTTACTGTATATCCCAATACGTGTCATCATGATAATGTAATACCTACTGAAAAATTACATGAAAAATAGCCCTTTTTGGTCGATTTGAAACAAAAAATGTATTGAACATTTACAATACCTTTCAAAAGTTTGGGGTTAGATTTTTTAATAATTTTATTCAGCTAGGATACATTAAATTGATCAAAAGTGTCAGTAAAGATATATAATGCTACAAAGGATTTTCTGTCTTTTGAACTTTATATTCATCAAAGAATCCTGAAAAAAATGTAATGCAGTTTCATCAAACATATTATTAAGCAGCACAATGATTTCTGAAGGATCGTGTGACACTGAAGACTGGAGTAATGACTGCTGAAAATTCACCTCATTACAGGAATAAATTACATTAATATATTATCAAATAGAAAACAGTTTGAAATTTCACATTACTTTTTTGCTGTATTTTTGATCAAATTAATGCAGCCTTGCTGAGCATAAGAGCCTTCTTTCAAAAACATACTAACCCCTAACATACTAACTTTTGAATGCCAGTGTACATAAAATACCTTTTAATTTATAAGCCCAAACTTGCTTAAACAGGTCCTGACCATTCCCCAACATTTAAGGGTGCGTACTTTTGCAAATGAAATATACCACCGGCTTAGTATTTTATTGCACAATCTGAACCAAGAGGTAATTTAGCAGCTTGGTTTGTTTCAGCTTTAGTTGCATATGGTCAACAAGTATTGGCCTGTGTTAACCCTACCTCACGAGGGCGTCGTAATAAACCTGCATGCTGATTGGTCGTATTTGGAGAATATTTGATTCTATACTGAATTGCAATTTTTGACACAGACCAAAAATAACGTACTAGGTCAGAAGCTTCTTATTCTCTTCTCACTGCTATTTGTGGAGCGGTTATAAGAAAAATTGGATTTTCCTGTCAAGTTCCTCACTAATCTGACCTCCTGTTTTGGTTTAATGAAACATACGTAATTTGATCCCTTCAACAATGGGCCGCTCAATGTATTCTATTCACTATTGTGCTTGGGTGCTAAATTCTTGCATTTTCTCTTTATGCTTAGTCTTTCAGTTAAAGCATTCGAATAGTATTATCTCAAAAGCATTGTGATAAAAATGATTACCGACTGGTGGCTTGATTTTGCCATTATTTTTAAATTAAACAGTTCCCTATTTTATATGACTTAATTTAATAAACCAATCCACCAGAAATTCCTAAATCACTGAGAAATCGATCTCAGATCAGCATAAAAGGTCTTTCTGTCAACATCTCTCAGATCCAGTATACTCTTGTCAATTTTATTCGTCGTCTTCCTTGAGGACATGGTATATCTAAGCCTGATATGATCTCTTTGCCACTACAAAAGTCCACTAATATAATTACAATTTTTTACAATTACTAATTTTACAACATAGTGCTGCATCGGGGTGAATGGATTTTCTCCCAAAAAAGTGAGAAATAAAAACAAGCATAGCTTTAATTCCTCTTCTGCGTCTTTTTTGGTAATGTGGACTTAGTGAAAAAAAAAGCAAAAAACAAATTCACTCTTTAATTTCGGCCCCCAAATGAGCCAATCGTGTGCAGAACTGATAATAACACCCATAATCAAGGTCACACACCACAACCTGGTAACCTCTCAAACCTTCAGAAAACCCACATCTTATACAGATTTCTGGTTTCTAATGTTCTGAAAAAATACAGATAATCCAACTGTATTTGGTGTTTGGAAATTGTTTGTTTGGTTGTTTAGTTAGTAGGAAGATTCACTTGTGCTTTTTTAACACAACAGTGTTTGCATGCATGACTTTGTTTTGCATGATTTCATGTATGAAAAACATGTATGAAATTTGCCCAGTCCACTTTCCATTTCTACAGCTTTTCTTGTCCCCTCCATGTTTTTTTTTTTCTTAGCTTGCACCAAAGCATGGAATTTCTGAGTAACATTTTGAGTCACTTCATATTTTCCAGGAATTTTTAGAGTGAATTGTGTGTACAAAGGCTATATATTTGCAGACGTTTCCTCGAGAGGCAACTGTTTACCCGATCAGCGCAAGAAAGTGACTATTTCTCTGTTAAATATTGACACCATTCCCAAGAAAGAGCTGCTAAAAGCAGGAGTTCTCCTTGTCGCAGCACAAATTACTGTAGTTGTTTAGTCAAAGATAACATGGAGATAGCACTGTTTTCCAGGTAATCTAAACTTCATTGGATTTTACGTGGAAATTGGATGTAATTGACCCCACAAGTGCACCGTCGTTTCTGCAGTCACAAACACATTTAAGTGTTGGCTTCAGCATGTTAGAAGAACAACGTCATCCTATCCAAGTTCTCTTTTTTATTTTCACTACCCCCAAGACTGAAGAATCTGAAAACCATATCTGAGTCTTTAGAAATAAAGTCAATGTTTAAAGTTACACCAACAAAACTGTTAAGTTGACATTCTCTCTCTCTCTCTCACTCGCTTGCGCTCTCTCTCTCTCTCTCTCTCTATTTGTGTGTGTGTGCATATATATATATATATATATATATATATAGTGTCATGGTAACCATACTTTGTCAAAATATCAGATTAAATTATTTATAAAATATCATAAAGCTAAATTACGTAACACTTTATAACAAATGACATCAAAACATTGACATTATTTCTATATAATTTATGTACCACATTTAAAAATATTGAGCATTTTTTCAAAGTCCTGCAAGGAGTCATTGAAGTATCTATCTATCTATCTATCTATCTATCTATCTATCTATCTATCTATCTATCTATCTATAGTTTTCCAGGGAAACAATTATATTTTTGTTTGTTATATTTTAGACAAAACATTGAATTAAAGGTAGTTGGATGGGATTTCAGAATAAATCTTCCAAGTGACAGGGAATAAGAATGTAGAAAGATGCACAAACACATATGTTTACCTGAAATTTGTCAGTGGTTGAGGGCAAGAGGACCTGAACTGACCCAGTGAGGAATATTCTGGAGCTCACATCTCTTATCTCTTTACATGACCGGACCTGACACTGGCTTGGTGAATATCTTAACAGCTCATTCAGTCAAGTAAACAGGATTTAAAAGGTCAGCTCAGGGACGAAGGCTATTGATCGCTCACCTCATATCACATGCACAGAAAACAATTCAATGGGCCACTTCAGCTTAAAGTCTTTATGTTGTACTGTACATCTGATAAAAACACAGCCTATTGTATGTTTGCATTACAAAGCACGCTTCACAAAAGCATGTGACACCTTTTGCATCATTATGGCATTATCAAGACCAGATTATGATAATATCAAACTGTTCATTCAAATTTGAGACAGGTGTGGTGCAACTTGCAGAAACACAACATATTGGACATCATTCAGAGCTAAGGGTGATAATTATGAAACAGATTCTAAACATTAGGTGATAAAACATTAGATTAGATGAATTCGATTAAACTAAAAATTTTAAATGTTTGAAACATGCAATGACTGTACAGTATGCAAATATCCATGTCCTTAATCGGCCCTGTAGATGCTTCCAATTTAGTTTGAAGTCCATAATGGATTCTCTGAAGGGGAAATCCCTGCAAACAGATTTTAAAACGCTTAGTGTAAAACGTGCTTGATGCTAAGGCAGGCCTTATGTATGTTGTATAAGGAGCCATACCATAAATGTAATGAATTAAACATATAGGGCATTATTTGCGTGAGGAAATGCTGCAAAAGGCAATGATGGTATGGACCCTCAGGATTATACATGCAAATATTACCACGGGGGATTTACATAGATACATCCAGCTTCTTGCAGCTCATATGCCATAATATTCAAATAATCCGCTCTTCCTGGAACAACTGTTGCTCTACAAAAAGAAAGCTTAGCGTTTCAAACAAGTGGTTTAACCGAACGTCATGAGGACAAGAAAATATACAACAGAACTTTCCTAATCAGGAGATCTAATCCTAGTCAGCAATAGGCAGCTTTATATACAATATAGCCTACAATGTTTTTGTAAGAGTCATCACAGGACAAACTGGAAAGACAAGAGCATCACTCAATTATATCACTCGCTCTACATCATGTGGAAAGAAGAGAGAAAAGGAGAGACAGAAAAAGAAAGGATTGTAGTTATTATCCTTCAGAAAAGTTTACCGTGGTAACAGTTTAAGCCTAAACATCAGAGTTGCTCTAGTTAGGCCTATTGTTACCACAATAAACTATATATTTATGCATAAGTAAAGACAAAAACATTACAAATATTTATACAAATGTGGTGCATTAATAATACAGAACGGTTGTTTTAGGGGGGCGTGGCAGAGTCTTAACTTTGATAAAGAATATCTCTTTGGTTTTGAGAATTTAGTCTTTGCAACTTCAGGGATCTTATCTATGCACAATCAGCTTGTAACACTCCAAAGAGAAAGGAAAACTTGAAATCGCATCATATGACCCCTTTAATATTTTAATATATTAGCCTACCTAGAAAATCCAGCTTTATATTGAGGGTGTCTTTGTCTGAAAAGGATAAAAACAACTGTATTATGTTAGGTTATAATACAATTTCGCAGGATATTTTTTGTTTGTGACCATCATTTCTGCACAATTATTAGCCTTAAATTACCCAATTTATGTACACACATTACACAAATGCGGGAACAACAATGATGCCGAAAACTAGTTCCTCCTGCACCTCGTTTCCAGCCGGTAGAAATAAATGCGACATGACGCGGAAAAGTCATACACAATGTATTACACACAACAGCACAAACTTGTGATATTTATGTGATATATATTCATAAACATCACTTTATGTGCATTTACCAACAACAACCGATAGGCTGAAGACAAGGAGCCTCCCCCTCCGTCCTTCACAGGTGAGTCCTGCGGGGCGGGCGTGCGTTCTTGTGTTCGTTTGAGCTAAATCTGACACAGAACATCCCTTTGGGCTATCCTTAATTGCAAAAATGATTCATAAATAATATCAACAAAACGTAAGTAAGTACAAGTAAGCACAAATGCCCAAAATGTTCTCATTTGGATAGCTAAGCGTATGTGTGGGGGTCATGTCCCCACAAAATGAAGTGAAATGAAAATTAAAACATGTATGAACGTTTTGTGTGAGGTTTATAGAAAACACAATTTCCTCATTAAATTAATAAATAAAGAAAATAAAAATCATCACAATAACTACACACACTCACACTGTTTTCCATGTTTTATGGGGACATTAATGGTTTATATACTGTACAAACTATATTTTCTATCCCCTGACCCTAACCGTACCCCTAAACCTACCCCTCACACAAAACTTTCTTCTGTTTTAGATTAAAAAAAAAAGATAATTCTTTATGGTTTATAAGCTTGCTTTCTCATGGTGACCAAAAAAATGTGCCTCCACAAGGTCAAAATTGACTGGTATTAGGGGACATTTGATCCTCATAACGTAGGGAATACCAGGTACACACAAACACAAAAACATGTGTGTGAACATTATTGTTAACATAAGAGTGGGTGTGGCCATTTGTAACTTCAATGTGTGAGGCTTCTGGTGTCATTTTAGTAAGAAAAGTCTTTAGTGTTACTCTTCTATTTATTTATCTATAGCTCCTAATGAATCGGAATTCTTGCACGTTCACAGAAAATAGTTCCGTCTTGCCTGTACTGTTTGGACAAATGTCTCCAGACACTGAGGAGGACATGTCTCACATGTGTGTGAGAGCACAGATATATAATATAAAAATACATATAATATATAATAGATAAATTAAAAAAAAAATAAAAAATAGAATAGATATTAATAATATTATTATACTATAATTGTATAGCTTTTAATTTATTTTATATTTCATTATATAGTTATTATTTCACTAATATGAAATATAAACAAATAAAAATAAAAATAAATAAATATAACAATCTAACAGATCATTAACTAAAACATACATGTATTTTATTTGTAACATTATTCTAAGCCATTTCAAGGCACCAGTTGCACTACATGTAAAGTTTTTTGTAGTCAGACGTGTTTCTGTTCCCTCATATTCCCTCTCAGTTTCACCTGATTTCACTTTCTGTCTCATAATGAAACCATTCATCTTTTAATTGAGATGAGGTTATGAAAGCTGGAGGTCAAGTCATTACATCTCCTATTTCTGACCAGAGGGTTAAATAAAAAGTGCTTTAATTGCCCTTCCTCTGATCCCTAACACTAAACCCTCTGTTACTAATTCTAGCAGAGAACCTAAATGCATTTAGAGCATTGCAAATTTCCATATGATTTGAAGACTAATGTTTTTGCGCATTTACAGTCTGTGAAATGCCTTATTTACATCCACAACAGTCTGGTTTCGGCCGCACAGATGTTTGTGAAAACAAAGGAGTTCTCTGCGTGCACTGCGTATATTTCAGCTGCTGTTTTGCTGAAAGGCGGCTTATTATCTGCTGTCTGTTGTTTTCCCATGTGAGAATGGAACACCCACTAAAAACCCTACATTGACACTCCACATCCCCCCTTTTTAGTCAGTCAACCAAACGCCAAAACACATTTGAAAAAAAAAAAAAAAACCTTCCCTCCTAGAAAAAACAAGACGTAAAAAGAAAAACAGAAGGAGAGCAAAGAATAAAAAAGAAAAAGAAAAGGGCTGAAGTTGTGTTTTGAGTCTCTCAAGGCCAGGCCGGCTTGGTGCGCTGCCCTGGTTTTCCATGAAAGCTGCATTAATTCCTGGCACTAGCTCTGCGGCCCAGCACTTTCGCTGAGCATCCTCCTTTCTAGGAAAAATATAATCAAAGCCGTTTGTTGGCTGCTCTCCCTCTCCCTCCTGTCTCCAGTTACTGAGCTGAAGATTTTATTGACTTACTGTGGTTCAGATGGTAATAAATTGGGGGATGGGGTGGGGTTAGAAAGAAAGCATAAAAGAAACGGAGAGGAAAAAAAGAAGCATGCTTGCAAATTTCTAGGAAGTCGAGGACGATCGCTACTCTGAGCAATCATTCTTCACACTTAAGCACTCACTTTAATTTTAAGCTCTTGTTAGCTTAATAGGTTTGAGTCGTCAGTGGCCGTTCAGGGACACAAACAATTATGGTGCTTTGTTCTTCCTTTCCTACTTTTTTTTTCTTCAGCTGCTCATATTATTAATATTCATGTCACTGTGAATTTGGATCTTAACATCAATGATGTCATTCTGTTGGCATGGGAACGTGTTTTTCATTCAACTGGCTTTCATTCTCCATCGTTGTGACAGGCCCTCAATCTGCAGTGTCACGGACACATTAATAAATGATACGCATGTTCTGGTTAAATTTAACAAAGCACGGTCCTCATGATCTTATTACCTACTTTCGAATCCAGATCAGTCAAATGGGGACACAATATCCTCGTTTTAAAGTCCATTTGCACACCTGCGAGGCATGTGTATTTGCATGTTTATTTATGAGATGCCCGCTTTAAGGAAAATGATGCAAATTGTGTCTTAAGCCTTCACTTACGGGTTCCTGGAACTTATCGTACCTGATGCTGTAAGGTTGTGAATTTTAAATTGTTTACAAGGCTAAATGTTCTGTGGCAGGCTTCTAGACAAATTTATCACAACTGGCTTCCATTATAGCAGAAGTAAGCATGTTCAGAAACCTTGGTGACTGCTTGTTAGTGCAGTTGTGAGTCATTGTGGGAGCTTTCCTTTCCAAACTGACTTGTATGAGATCTTGATCAGACAAAACGCCATATTTTTTGTAGTTGTTTTGTTCTTTACTTTGCCGGTTTTAGCCAAAGAACTGTCAAAAATGGTGAAGTATTAAAACTAATAATCTAACATGAAATAAAAAAATTGATATATATATATATATATATATATATATATACTGTATATGTATGTTCACTATTAAACTAACTATTAGCATAGCATTATAGCATTGTTTTTGCATTCCCTATCTGAACATATCTTGAAGATATTTTTATGTTGAGAAACACTGGTCTAGTAACGTGTCCACCAGACTGGTGCTACCAGTCATCAGACTACGATGACTGTAGTAGCCTATCTGTTATTTGCACAGCTGCATTTGCGTGTGTCTTATATCTTCAGGTCAATCCCTTATACGTTGTTAGTCACCCTCTGTAATACTCAGCAGCTGCCGATTCATCTCAAAAGCTTTTGCACTGTTCTGTACATGTTTACTTTTACAGTGTATGGCAGTGTCGCCCACAAAGACTATAAAAAAGCTTGAGAACTAAAGTAGATATCCAGAGCATAATATTATCTGATGGCATATGGAATACATATGGTAAACATTCACATACAATCCTGTTTCTGTATAACAGAAGCACAGAATTTTGTCTTTTGTGTGCTATATGACTGCTGGACTGCAAGTGCAACCAAAATAAAATATCTGTTGTTTCAAACCTGTATGGTGTTTTTTTTTCAAGTGGACACAAATATACGATTTTTTTTAAGAAATAAGAGATCCCGAGTTCATAGTGAGCAAGTAATGTCAATCTCCAAACAGAACAAAAAAAAAGTTGTCCATACAAATTATAATTTATTATATATATTTTTAGAACCCCTGAATGGTTCCAACTCATAATCATAATCAACTCATATTCACCACCATTCTAAACTTTGGGGTCTTTAAGTATTTTGTATGTTTTTA